GCAGAAAAAGGTGAAGGTTCTAGAGTGGCATTCACAGTCTCCTGACCTTAATATCATCAAGCCTGTCTAGGGAGATCTCAAACATGCTGTTCACGCAAGACGGTTAAAGACTTGGCAAAATGTCTGCAGGTCATGCAAAGACGAATGGGCAGCTATACCGCCTGCAAGAATTAGGGGCCTCATAGACAACTATTACAAAAGATTGTACGCTGTCATTAATGTTAAGGGGGGCAATACACAGTATTAAGAAAAAGGGTTTGCAGACTTTTGAACAGGGGTCATTTAATTTTTTTTCTTTGTTGCCATGTTTTATGATTGTGCCATTCTGTTAAACCTTACAGTTGAATATGAACCCCATAAGAAATAAAATAAATGTGTTTTGCCTGCTCACTCATGTTTTCTTTAAAAATGGTACATATATTGCAAATTCTCAGGTATGCAAACTTATGAGCACAACTGCATATCTAAGAAGTAGACCAAAAATCTAGAAATCTGATTTCCAAGGATAATACACCTGAACCTTGGTTTGTGGGATATTGTGGAGATACCTTACCATATGGGTATGTTGTCCATTAGTCAATACCAGAATTGAGTATAAACCTTTTTTATTTTCATATATTTTGCAGTATAAAATCTAGTCCATAAAACCCCACTCACACTAATTTATACTCTACTTATGATTACCTGCCTTTAGTAGAACATATTTCTCTACCAGAAGCTACTAGTCACTGATATATTATAATTCCTGTAAATTTGCTGAAAACATCAGCACATCGACTGCTTTCAAACTTAACAGGAAGTTTCACTGGGTGATAGCATATTACAGTCAGGGAGGGGTAAATTTACTCTACCATTTCACTAACATGCAGAAGACACAGGCAACACTCCAAGATCCTGATGGTGTAGGTTTATTTAAGGGAAAACCACCGTACAAAACATGCATTTTCGGCTCCCAAGAGCCTTAGTCATGTAGGGCAGAACCTGTGTTCAGACTCTCTTGTTTCGTCTCCCATTTCACTGTCAGCATTGCAGTCCAAAGATTGACAGATATTGCTATGGAAGTTTAAAATGCCCTCATTTTAGAAATATGTGATATAACTGTATTTGCATTATGCAGACATTATTTTTACATTCTGTTGCCATTGTCAGTAAGTAACACGGCTACTAATGTTGTCATGGTCCCTACTAATACCTACAGGCAAGATTTTTGATAATTATTTATATTTTTGTCACATCTAGTATATGTGAGAAAACAGCATTTCTGCTTTTATACTAGCATTCCAGACCCCGTATGATATATTGCAAGATATATAGGACACTGTCTAAAGTTTAGCATTTTCCAAATATTTTTATAAAGGTGAACAAATAAATTTAAACTAAACATGGTGTAAATTTACATATTTTAAATTTTTAGGTATGTCTGCATAGTTCTATGCTATGATATGTTTATACGGCAGCTATGCATCCCTTACTTCACATAAATGTTATGCTAATATATATATTTTTCCAATCATAAAGTGTTCGTTGGTTAAGGGGTTAAATATTGAAAGTTTTATTCACTAAGTTTGAAAAGCACGGCCGACTTGCAGATTTAGTTATTTTTTTCAAATTCACCTATTTTCGATATCAATTCTCTTTAATTTGCATCAATTTGCATTTTTTGTGAATAACCCTGACTATGCGTAACATAATTGAGGCCTGACTAAGCAAAGAGGAGTCAGCAGGTAGACCTCATTTAGGTTCCTACAGCTGCACAGTATGTAGGGGCAGCCACATGGAAGAAATTCTTGTAGACTAATGTGACTCTGATATAAGCATCGATGGCAATTCAGCTACATTGGTTTATGCTTTCAACATGCTATTGAAGGCTAATTTTTTTATATTGTTCAACAAGTGATTCATTTTAATAAAAATTGATACCCTTTTCAAATTTAACTCAATTCCCTTTCTAGATTCTGGCCTCAAAGTCTGCGCTATACAAGTGCATGCCAGAATGATATTTGTATAGTTGTAAAGTTGATAGCCTCTGAGGTTTTATGTAATGATTTGATCTGTACCTACAATACCAATATTTGAGAACCGGTCTTGATTTTTGTGTCCCCGATATCTGACTGAGTGCCAGATTCCATAGTTAGCAGTGCCTCCCTCCCCCAAGTCTCTCTGTGTGTTCCCAAAGCCTCCTCTCTCTGTCACACACCTCCCAGCCTCCCCATGCACAGAGCTGAAGATTCGCAGGCTGTAGGCAGTAAACAGCCGGTTCTGTTCCCTGAGCTGCCAAATGATGTTTTTACTCAGATACATATATATAAAAAAATCTGCAAAACAAGTTAAGGCTTCATGAAATATCATATTAGGAAGGGAGCCACCAACTCGTTGCTAATCACCTGCAATCAAAGAGGAGTGCAGATACTATTTAAGGGAGGATGGAGGGAAAGTCTTAAGCCCCAAACTAAATCTCAATTAACCCCTCGCATTCAGGTATCTATTGTACCCTACCTTAAAACTATACAAAATAGTATGCATACTATTTCAGGAGGTCTATTCTTTCCATCACAGAACCTCTGATTAGTTACCATTCCAAGTTACCCTTCACTCATATTTAACCCATTTAATAGTTAAATGTCATCAAATTAACCCCTTCCCACCTATACCACAGATCACTTACATTAGTTGCTGTAGTCCAATTAACACTGAAATAAATCTTGCATATTTAACTCCTTGAATGTCTGAAATCTGAGCAACACGTTCTTAGCTGTGGGTTTTAAGAACATTTGGAATATGGAATTACATGTCCAATTTCATCGATGTTCTTCTTAGGTTAACATAGATAGTACAAATGACACATTGTAAATTGCATGAAATAGATTTGCTACAGAACAAGGAGAGTCAACATACAGTTCTCCAGCTTTTGCTGAACTACAATTCCCATTTATTCAGTCTGTTTTTTGGCACAAGCTAGCTGAGGACACGAGCATTATAGAGGAAAGTCCATCTGATAATGGTCAGTGGTCAGTAGGCACACTAAAGTAGAATGTACTCAACAGTAGGTGGATTAGCGTGGAGAATGAGGCAGTTAGGGCATTTGTGCTGAGGTACCTGAGGACGTACATGTAGGCCAGAGGAAGCAGAGGTGAAAAATAGTAGCAGTAGGTAGAAAAGCTGACATAAAGTAAAACAGGGTAGATGGTGGCAAATAATTTCGCTCCACATTGGAGGAATAAAAACAATACATAGTATAAAGAGGCAAAAGTAAAACGGATTATTTCAGGAATCTACATATAAATAAATGGTGCATACACTAGAGTTAGATATTATGGTAATGGTGGAGATAGACTACTCGACCCATATAGAAGATTATTGTCCAAGATTAGCTATTAGGAAACATGTATAATTAGAGTGTCCCAGGGTACATATCAAGCTATTGGGCAAGGAGATATTAGTTATTTTGATAATCCAATTTTCTAAATGTATATGAATGTATTATGTAAAATATAAAGAGTACTGGGTGTGAACTGGCACCCCATTTGCTATTAGGAATGTGAATATGATATAATGTGGATATATTGGTATGTTGTAGATATTAAGCTACTCATTTAATTAGATTGTTCAGGGGTAGTTATGACTTCAATTGCAACATTCTGATAGTGTTAATGCAGCTAAGCAAGATGAGTTGGGCAGCACAGGCAAAAAATTACAAATAAAACTGTTCTGAGATGGATTATTATATTTAGATGATATGGCAGTATTGGGGCTCTAAGAGGCAGGTGAAAATAAAATGGTGGTGGGCCATTTAGATAGATGCAGTAGAGATTTATAGCAGATATACATTTTATGGGCTAGAAAAATGAGAACTGTGACCTTTACTTGGGTAATAGGAAATATGGCTTGTGGCATATCTAGGAGTACTGGGGTAGATAAGAAAAAATCCTGTGGCAGTTTATTACATTAGTATACATGGCTAGTGGTTCACAGCGTAGTTAAGAGAGGTGCTGAAGTACATAGAACAGCAGAGGGTCAGATAGATGGGTCCAGAATATGATATATTATATCATATGGGTATATTAGATATATTACAGAGGGTCAGATAGATGGGTACATTAGATACATTACAAAGGGTCAGATAGCTGGGTATATTAGATATATTACAGAGGGTCAGATAGATGGGTAAATTAGATATATTACAGAAGGAAAGAAAGAGGAGTATATTAGATATATTACAGAGGGTCAGATAGCTGGGTATATTAGATATATTACAGAGGGTCAGATAGATGGGTATATTAGATATATTACAGAGGGTCAGATAGATGGGTAAATTAGATATATTACAGAGGGTCAGATAGATGGGTATATTAGATATATTACAGAGGGTCAGATAGATGGGTATATTAGTGGATATATTACAGAGGGTCAGAAAGATGGGTAAATTAGATATACTACAGAGGGTCAGATAGATGGGTAAATTAGATATATTTCAAAGGGTCAGATAGATGGGTATATTAGATATATTACAGAGGGTCAGATAAATTGGTATACTAGTAGACATGTTACAGAGTGTCAGTTAAATTTGTATATTAGATATATTACAGAGGGTCAGATAGATTGGTATATTAGAAGACATATTACAGAGGGTCAGTTAGATGGGTATATTAGATATATTACAGAGGGTCAGTTAGATGGGTATATTAGTAGATATATTACAGAGGGTCAGATAGATTGGTATATTAGTAGATATATTACAGAGGGTCAGTTAGATGGTTATATTAGTAGATATATTACAGAGGGTCAGGTAGATTGGTATATTAGATATATTACAGAGGGTCAGTTAGATGGGTATATTAGATATATTACAGAGGGTCAGTTAGATGGGTATATTAGATATATTACAGAGGGTCAGATTGATGGGCATATTAGTGGATATACTATAGAGGCTCAGACAGACAGGTATAGAAGTAGAGGACAGTAGGTCAGACAGATAAGTGTAAAAGTGATAAAATCTCTCACGTGTCCATGGGGATCCTCCTTTGGGCTCTCATCCCCTCACATCCAGCGTGGAGAATCCACAGCAACACCCAGCTCACCCACATGGTGCCCCGGGGCTTCAGGCCATGGGGGGCAACAAGGGAGACACCCTGTGACTTTCCCCTGCCCTCTCCTGGCTCTCTCTCTCCACTGATCCTAAATCTCCCCCTATCCCTGATTGCTTCCTATATTGTAACACTTTGTATACCCCAGCCCACCCCTGCAGGTTCAGAATCTCACCTCTCACTCCCTCCTACCCCCTCAGCACTCACTTCTCCTCCCCCCCGCTCCCATCTGTCTCCTCTTCCTCCTGTTTGTCTGTTTCCCACTTCACTCTCTCTGTTACTAGTTTGTCTGATGTCTGCTCACACAGATCCCCCTCTCTGATCACAGATTATCTGCAGGATCCTATCCAGGGGATTACAGGCATCTCTGCGACCAATCACAAAGCAGCTCCCGCCTGGCTATTAACCCATGGGCTGCTGGAGGCTATCAAGACAAGCACACCATGAGACTAGTGTTACTATTATAACGCAGGTTTGATTTAACAGAGCATGTAGGTAAGTATTCAGGGAGGGAATACATCGTTGGCTGCAGAGTATATGCAGTTATTCTAGATACATACATACATTTACTACTTGGAGCTTATTCACTAAACAGAGGCTTTAAAAAGTTAAAATGTAGTAAATATAAATAAATAGAGGACTCTATTTTGACTTTCCATGTTAAAAAATATATTATATATGTTTTCAGTTCTTTTGTTAGTGAACAAATCTCTACGCCACATCCTAAGACTGTTAGACTGTACCTATGTCTAACACCAAGGAAGATTTTTAGTGTTTCTATAAATACTCTCCCTGTACATATACAGGGACCCCTGTTTAGAATAGCTGCTGTTTGTTTTTTGTGTTTTATTGTTTTTTCTATGCATGTCTCTCAGAAGGTATACACATTCACAGGGTTATTTACCGAAGTGAGAATCCAAAGTGAATTCCAATTTAAAGGTCAAAGTAGCTGACCTGAAAATTTCTCTTTGCTTGCTATACTTTTAATTTGGCTCATTTGGCCTTGGATTTGAAATTTACTTTGAATTCTCACCTTCGTAAATAACCCTGATAATGTTTATTATATTAGGTACAATTGTAGAAGGACAGAACTTGTGACTCCAAAACATTATTTATTGGCGGCACAGAATTAACAAGGTGACAAAAATCAATCCAGAGTCAATCTTGACTCTGGGGCAACAGTACCCAAAAGGTAGATCACCTGATTTTTTAAAACTACATTTCACATTCTTAAGGATGGCACATGCAGCTGGCACATGTCGCTAACATTCTAAAGGCTGGCACATGTTGCTAACATTCTAAAGGATGGCACATGTGGCTGGCACATTTTGCTAACATTCTAAAGGATGGCACATGTGGCTGGCACATGTCATTGACATTCTAAAGGATGGCACGTCGCTAACATTCTAAAGGCTGGCACATGTCGCTGACATTCTAAAGGATGGCACATGTCGCTAACATTCTAAAGGCTGTCACACGTTGCTGACATTCTAAAGGATGGCACATGTCGCTGACATTCTAAAGGATGGAACATGTTTACCCTCACCCTAAAGGTGGGCTGTTGGCACAGATACCATTTGGGGGAGTCTGTCGGTATGGGAGTTTTAGTCCTGAGGCTCTCACACAGACATCCTGAGATCCAGACAGTTAGCACAGGATGTCTGTGTGAGAGCCATTCAATGTTTTACACTAGCAGGGTGCCTAACTATCAATAGACGTGGGTGACGCATGACATTATATCCCTCCATCCACAGCTTGTGCCATGTACCCCCAACGGGTGATAGGAAGAAATGCTGTGCTTGCCAGGGCCACTGTCCTTCTCCTACACCACTGGGAACAACGGAGAACAGTCTGGAGCCTCTGTACTCCCTCCCTTCTCAGGGAACAAGTGAGCGGGAGGAGAGGAAGGGTTTTTACAGTTCAGTTATTACAGTGTTAAATCAATGGATTTGTGTTAATTTATGCCTGTGCCTTGGTATAATTGTCTGTGTAAGCATGTCAGTATGCGTGTATGCATGCATGTTAATCTGTTTATGAATTACAGTACATATCTGTATGTGCATGTGTATGCATGTTAGGCTTGGTATCATAGCCACTATGGCATCCTTTCTGGAGTCAACTGACACTCTCAACCAATTAACCTCACCCAGACGTGGGACCCAAGTGTGCCCTATACCTACTGCATAAAAGTGTAGCTTATCTCTTGTCCATGCCTATTGGACTTTCTGGGTGCAATGGGCAAATTGCCTGTATACTTGATGGGTTTTTTCCTGAGGAATTGGAGGGTAAGATCTTATGTTGGATGCACTGTTTTTAGGACACATGACCGGAGAATATCAACTTGCCACACACGTAATGATGATGGCCAGGCTTGTATCAACGACAGTTGATTTATCAATTTTACCAGTCTGTATTTACTGCAATGAGCTAAAGCATGCAAATTAGTGATCTCACTTTTAAGGCTCCCTGGGGTCCAAAAATGTGGCCAGTAAAATAGTGAGGCTTGGCACAGTACACCTTTAGCATCTGCAAAAAATAAAAATGGCCCTGGCTATAATATACAAGGGTAGTTTTACCTCTGTAGTCCAATAGGGTAGGAGTAAAGGGCAGTCCACTGTGCATGAGTAAAGTTGGTTGGTAATGACCAAACTCATTATTAAGTAGTATATCCATGTTAAAGAGACCATTCAATGTTAGGTATACTCTCATCAACGTGTTTTTAAAATAAATAGCCTCCCAGTTTACAGTGCAATTGAAAGTATTTATCCTCCTTTTTCATGTGCACAAGTGTGGTACAAAAGAAAAAAAAATCAGAATGAAAGATGTATGTATAAAAGAAATCTATGTCGTTTGAATTGGATTATGTAGACAGGCATATTTAAATTAAGAGAGGTTTTGGCAGACATTCTTTTATATTGATTTTATTTTCCAAATAACAGTGGGAAATACAGGGGAAAAATGTTTATTTACATACTTTATTTATAAATGAGACATACAAGTAGTTACAGGACACCACCATTTTTTTGACACGTTGGACATTATTTGCTTACTGGTAATTTATGTGATAACAACAGACTTTAAAACTAATAACCACATCTTAATGCATTTGTTCTGGTGTCTATAACCTGTCCCTGCAGGCATTTTAAGTTAAACTGGTTTGCATTACTGCCTAGGAACACCTCCAGCGGTAGTCACTCAGACGACCTCTAGATGTGCTTCCTAGGTCAATGCTGCACAATGTGCAGCACTCACATTCAGCCTCTCCATGCTTTGCATCTCTATGAGGAAATGCTGATTGGCACAATGTGGCGTTTTGCCATGCATGCGCAAAACCATTGCATTACCTGAGATCATCAAGATGGATGATCTCAGCCAAGAGGGCAGAGGGTGGGCGGGCTAAATGGCCGGACCCTTGCCGAACTGTAAAAAGGTAAGTTTATCTTTTTAACTGGAGGTAAGGGTGGGGAAATATTGAAAAAATATTTTACCGGTAATAGATTTGTCTATTTAACCCTACATTTTCTAATTTGGTTGTCAACACTTTTTAAACTGCTGCATAAAAAATAAGTTTCTTATTAAATCCCCCCAGCCTACAGGAAACCACTTTATTCAGAGTATAACAAACAATACTGGATAAAATCTTTCCCAGTCTGCCAAAACCTAGTCATCATGGCGACATTTATGATCAGTTACACATGATCACTACATTCTATACAGCTAGTAAAGACCAAAAATTAGTCTTCAAAATATAATTTACTTTTGTCCTCAAAAGACATAGTTTAATCTCTGTGTAGAATAAGCCTTTGTGTTCTAATATATTATCAGTTTACATGATTTTAATAAAATATATACACATATTATAACTCTATCTATAGTATTTTCTCCTTTAGTCCTCAGTTTGCTGGTTCTAGTGCACCATATAACTCACACTCACACACAGATCAGCCACAACATTAAAACCACTTACATTGATTATATTATTACAATGGCATCTATCAAAGGGTGGGATACATTGGGCAGCAAATGAACAGTCAGTTCCCGAATTTCATGTGTTGGAAGCAGGAAAAACAAGCAAGCAAAAAGATCTGAGTGACTTTGACAAGGGCCAAATGGTGATGGCTAGGTGACTTAGTCAGAGCATCTCCAAAATGTCAAGTCTTGTGGGCTGTTCCCAGTACGCAGTGGTTAGTACCTACTAAAAATGGAAGAGTAACGTTGAACCGGCCTCAGGGTCATAGGTACCACAGGCTCATTGATGCATGTGGGGAGTGAAAGCTGGCCTGTTCTGTGCAGTCACATAGAAGAGCTACTGTACCTCAAGTTGCTGAAAAACTTAATGCTGGACATCATAGAAAAAGTTGTCAGATCCCACAGTCAGGGCCATCTTTAATGCGGGGCAAACGGGGCAGCTGCCCCGGGCCCAGTTACTCCCATGGGCCCCGCGATTTGAGCAGCCTCCATGGACCTGGCGGTGCGGCTGCACAGAGCCACATCGGCCTGCACGCTAAGGAGGCCCATCAAGTGGCCCATGCATGTGTCAGCAGGGGCCCGGTCGGGCGCTGTGGCGCTTAAACAGCACGAACCAGGACCCTTTCTGTTTGGCAGCCGGCTGGGCTGCCCCGAAGGAAGTGACAGCCGCGCGTCACTGCCTCCCACTGACAGATTAAAGCTGTGCGGGAGGAGAAATGCTGTGAGGAGGGGGCTAGGCCAAGAGTGCCATAGCTTAACTCCCAACTGCCTCAGCCTGCCAGTGGACCCCAGGGAAACCACCCTCCAGGTAAAGGTAAGAACCTGGAGGGTGGTTAAGTGTATAGAGTGTGTGTGTCAGTATGTCTCTCTGTCAGTGTGTGTCAGTATGCCTGTCAGTGTGTGTGTGTGTCAGTATGCGTCTGTCAGTATGTATCAGTATGTCTGTGTGTGTGTCAATACGTCTGTGTGTGTCAATATGTCTGTGTGTGTGTGTGTGTGTCAGTATAACTGTCAGTATATGTGTCTGTGTCTGTCAATGTGTGTGTCTGCCTGTGTCAGTATGTATGCCAGTTTGTTTTAGTGTGTGTCAGTATGTCTCAGTGTATGTGTCAGTATGTCTGTCAGCATATGTGTCTTAGCATCTGTTTGCTGTCATTGTGTATCTGT